TGGAGAGAGATGTTTTTGGAGATATCAACAGAGCCAGCCGGCAAGCAGTGTGTCTCACTTTCATCTCAAGTCTTTGTGCGGATAAAGTCAGCCAACAGGCTGTGCTACATTTGATACGGATGGCCACAGCGCTATCTAGACTGCCTGGGAAAAATAACACCACACCTATGGGTATATGAGGTCAAGTGAGCTAGTAACAGTTGTGGACTTATTTGCAAGGGTGCTTTAGGTATGCGTACTAGGGGTGCAAAAGAAACCGGGGTGCTTCTTCCCTCTAAAAATCCATTCTGTAGCAAAGGGGAGGGCAGAAGATAGGGCAAGATCTACTACTGGATCTAGATCAGGGATTGAACCTGGAACCTTCTGCATACAAAGAAGATCCTCAGGCACTGAGCCATTCCCCGGGGTAATCAGGAAATGATTTTTTTTTTAAGTTTTTGCACCCAAATCCAGTTAGTAGATCTCAGAGTGTCTAGTAGACACTGCAAGTCAAAAGTCTACCTTCCCCTACTGCAGCAGATATTGCAGTGAAAGACTCCTATAGCAAGGGGCTTCCACATAGCAGCTTCTGTCCCTAAGATCAGATGCCAAGCTGGAGGAAAAGCAATCCTAGAAAAGAACAGGGAGAAGTATGGTGGTGGAACTGCCTTGCCTAGGTCAATGGTGGGGTTGCAGCCAAGGAGAGCAGCAAAGAAGGGAAACCGAAGAGAGATGAAAAGGGATATGTTTGACAAAGAGAATGAACATCCAAGATGCTCACAGAGTCAATTCAGCTCAGCATTGGAGCGAACCAACATATGGGTTGAGTGGAAGAGGTATGAGTTGACCATGGACTGAGCACGGACCCTTATCTTGCTATAGCTCCCATAAAGTCACTGGGTAGAGAGGTGGTCTGGGAAAAGATTTGACATTTGAACTTCAGCAGAGAAGAGATCTGAACATGCTTCTCCCACCTCCAGGCCCAAACTCAATGCTATAGCCTCTCCTCTCCCAGCAGCAAAGAGAGCATGCAAAGAATGGGAGGGTATTTATTATAACTGAGCAGGACTGGTTTACTGAGGCCTGGAAGATCTCATTAAGGAAAGGAAGCCAGCCATGTAGACCAGGGTGGGCTTGCTAGAGAGACCCCTGTATGCAGGAAGGAAGGAGACACGCCACTGTAACATTCTCCTGGGCTCCCAATGTCTTCACGGTTACTGTCATTTGAAGAGGGAATTTATAAATTTAAATAAGCTCTCGTGCTTTATGGGAGCTGCGCATTCAGCGGTTTAACGGAATTTTATTTAAGGAACATGGAAAATGTTTCCCTTTCCCTTTTGACAGGCAGCCAGGGCTTTTGGTTGTTTACGTGCCAAACTCTAGCTCCAGCCCGCTCATTTTGAAGCGCTTGAAAGAGACACAAGAAACATCATCTTGTGACATTTCTCCAGTTGTAGCATAGGATGACAGGCACAGAGAAACACAGCCAGTCTTTGTGCAAACACTGTTATATTTGCTCATTTAGCAACCCAGGAAGTACATTTTCTGCAGTGAGGCAACTGCTTCTCTCTTAGCACCATTTGATTTGCAAAGTACCGTTAAGTTAAACAAGGAATGGGGGGTGGAATTGGAGTGGAATGCCATTGCGATCTGGGAGGAGAATGTGAACAGATGACATTCTAAGGGGCGGGCAAATATTGTACGCTGCTCATTACTTACATCTGTTTCTCAAGAACAAATCCCCAAGGTAGCTCTGAAACAGCAGCTCCTTTCCCAAGGTCATTCGCTCTGCTAAGCTAATAGAGCTTTATTAGAAGCCATTTGCTTGCTTGCTTAAAAAAAAAAAAAAAAAGCTTAAATAATCAGAACTCAGAAGAAGAAAATCAGAAGCCAAGACTTGCATTCTTTCCAATTACTGAACAGGAATTATTTGGAGACGGGGCTTTTCTCACACAAACAACTGTAAAACACAGGCCTGCAGAAGATTCCCCCCTCCTAGGCATCTCCCCCCACCCCCTACGCACACACTTGTGACTAATTTAATTTGCCACCCCACAAGAAAGAGGAATTTAACCTTCACACAGGCAGCCATGTAAACATATTGCAAAGAGAAAGGCTGCTATTCTTTGTGCCTGTCTGGGAGGGCTTAAGAGGCATGCGCGCACACACTTTTAAGAATTTGATCTCATCCTCGCTTTGTGGATTTGCTATGAAAGGAGAGGGGAGGCTGGGAACAAAAGAAAAGATGCCGGGGAATATTTTCGCACGTTCCAAGACTCCAAAGGGGTATCTCACCCAAACGCCTTGGCTTTTATTTTAGCCTGCTTTAAAGGATGCATTGTCCTGCCTTTGCAGTGGTGCAGGACCTCATCCAGCTCTCTGCAAGCGCATTTAAATGTCATTGCGTTCAATACTCCAGTTCATAATATTGTTGCCCAACATACTCAACGTTCATCCAAATGACAGAGGAGAAGCAGCAGCAGTTTAAAAGGACGGCTGCTTTCATTGCATCCTGTCCTTACAATCTCTCCACTAAAGCATATCCTCTCTATATCCTTTCCCCCAAAGTAACCACTTCAAACATGCACCCTCCCAAACTGCCCCATCCTACAGTCCCATAACCACCACTAGGCACCTCCTTATTACAGCCTCCACCGATCTGATGTACCCCAAACATTCTGAATCCACCACCACAGCTTTCTCCACCTCCATCCATCAGCCTATCTTGCATGAAGGATGGGGAAATAATCCAAGAGACTATGTGTTCCCAAGTCTTATTTTCAGTCCCACACCAGCATCAGCCATTTTCCATCACACTCTTTGACTCCCTTGAAGACCTTCTGTCTTGAAACTGTACTGGACCCAAGGCATCCAGCCAAGACTCTTCTCTCCTCAACCCATGATTCTATGATTTTTGCCTGCCAGATTGATAACCAACAACTCGAAAAGGTGCCAGGAGAGCTCAAATGCATCCACAGGGCACTGCTTACTGGCCTAGACACTGCAACACTCGCACAACTCATCCTACTAGCTGCCTTCAGTAACTGGTATCTCAATGCACATTTATCTCCAACTCTGTTATCAACCTAACTTCTTATTCACATAGGGGTTGGGCCCTGGGCAAACTCTTAGCCCTCTGAATACACTTTGGCGGGGGGTGGTGGGGGTGGAAGAATAACTAGGAATTTGATCTACTACCCTAAACTTGCCTGGAACCCAAATCAACAGGATCTGCTCCCAAGGGTATGCTCAGGTGAGATAGCAATGAGACTTTAATTTTTTTGAATTATTTGGTTCCTGAAAAAGGGTTCCACAAAACCAATGTGAGCCCTGACAGAGAGGGCCAAATGCAAACTGGTAAGCCAGCTCCCCAGTCTTGCATCCACACCCTTCCCGCCTCTGGGTGCCCCCTATGCTTCCTAAAGGTAAAGGGACCCCTGACCATTAGGTCCAGTTGTGGCCGACTCTGGGGTTGCGGTGCTCATCTCGCTTTATTGGCTGAGGGAGCTGGCGTACAGCTTCCGGGTCATGTGGCCAGCATGACTAAGCTGCTTCTGGGGAACCAGAGCAGCGCATGGAAACGCCGTTTACCTTCCCGCCGGAGTGGTACCTATTTATCTACTTGCACTTTGACATGCTTTCGAACTGCTAGGTTGGCAGGAGCAGGGACCGAGCAACAGGAGCTCACCCTGTCGTGGGGATTCGAACCGCCGACCTTCTGATCAGCAAGTCCTAGGCTCTGTGGTTTAAACCACAGCGCCACCCGTGTCCCTCTATGGTTCCTACCCCACACCAATTTCCTGTATCCTGTAAACATCTACAACAAAGCCCTTATGCTTCCTGGACCCACCACCCAATCCAGGCTCCTTACAACTGTTCTCCCCCCCCCCCACATATTCTGCGCTGAGGTGACCCCATGTTGGCCATACCAACCTCCACCTAGACCCTCTCCTTCATCGACCCTCTTCATATTTCTGCAGCAAGGCAGACCCTCCAACAGAACCCACCTCAGCTCAACCCAAAGCTCATGTCCATCCCCCCCACCAGGCCCCTCACCATCTTCCTGCAGCCCTTCCCCACTCCCTGCCCTGCCTCCCTCAAGCAGCACCTACTGCCAGCGCCCCCTAACCCTTCCCAACCTCAGCTCTTGCCTGCACAACTCCCCTATTCCCAACCTCCCAGCAATCCCTGCCCTTATTGACACCCCTAGATATTCTGCACCAGAATGCATCCCGCTTCGGTACCAAAGCACCCCTTCCCCAGGCACCCCACACCTGCACCAAAGCAACCCCCCCCCCGAATATCTGCATCATGGCCAGTGGCGTAGCGTGGGGGGTGCAGGGGGGGCCGGCCGCACCGGGCGCAACATCTGGGGGGGCGCTCACACTCGCAGCTCTCTGCCCCTACCTGGCTCACTCACTCTAGGGGGCGCAAATTACTTGCCTTGCCCCGGGTGCTGACAACCCATGCTACGCCACTGATCATGGCATTCCCCACCCCTTACACCCCACAGGACCCTGACCCTTTGACAGTTGTTCAGGCAGATGCGATTTTTTTGCAAGGCCACCTCCTTTGTTGCTTAAGGCCACATGTTCTGGCTTTGTTTCATGGATTTTTGGTTTTGTGCGGTGGCAACCTGCCCTGGGACCTTACGGTGGAGAAGAAAATATATACATATACGTATATATATATATGCGTGTGTGTGTGTGTGTGTGTGTATATACACACACACGTATAAAATGATGCATGCTCACCCCACCCCCACCTTTGCACAACCGTCTCCTCCTCTCCCTCTATAGGGCAGCCCCACCCCACCCCCTGCTCGCCTCCCCTCCCCCCCCCGCGTCCCCCTCCTCGTCTCCCTCCACCGACCCCTCACTCCCACCCCTCCCCCCTTACCCCCCCTGTCCCCCACCCCTCTCATTCCCCCCTCCCCCCGTTGCCCCTCTCCTTTCTCCAGACCCCACCCAGGGCAGCCCCCCTGTCACCTCCCCCCTCCCTCGCCCCCCACCCCTCCTCACCTGACGCTGGGCTGGGCCCCTCCTCGGGCCTTGGGGCGCCCCCTTCGGGCCGGGGGCAGCAGCAGGGGGTTCCGTGCCGAGGGGAGCAGCGCCATTGTCCTGTCAGCCCAGCACCCGCCGCCGCCGCCTCCGCTTCGCCTTCCCTGCAGCACCGAGCGGCGGGGGGGGGGGAGGAGCGGGCACCAACTGCGCCTCAGCTGGAGGGAGAAAGAGGCGAGCCGTTGCCCTTCCGCCCCGCCCACGGCGCCCCCCGCCCGCCGGCTCTTCTCGCTGCGCCCCCCCTCCTCGCTCGCTCTCAATGGTACGTCCCGACAGGGCCAGCTGTTCCAAGGGAGGAGGAAGGAGGCGCGGAACGGCCCCGCCCCGCGGCAATCGTTGCCGGGCAACGCGCCGCCTAGCCCCGCCCCCTGGCAACGCGCACTCTCCTTAACGCGGACGCGGAAGAAGGGCCTCCCCTTAGCAACGGCCCTCGTCGTCAGGATGTCGCCTTAGCAACGGGGGCTGCGAGGCTGGCGCTAGGCCTCCCTCAGCGGAAAGGGGGCGCCCAGCCCTGCCTCGCTTTCCTTATTATTATTATTATTATTATTAGCTATTAAATTTGTATACCTATACCTGCAGGGCGAGCCCCAGATGAGGAGGAAGCCCCATCAACCACTTACACGATTCAGCCATTGATTTTATTATTCACTTTTTTTGTCTTTTCTCCAAAAAGGCTTAACAAAGAAACAAAAATGTGCATACATACATTAAAACCTGGCGGGGTGTGTGTTTGGCGGAATACATTAAAACATTCTGCCAGCTTTGAAGGCAAGGCACCTGAAAATACGTTGTAAAGATATGATTGTTCCGCAAATGGAGCCACCACTGAAAAGGCCCTGTTTTCTTGTTGCTGCTCTCCTAGCACTGGATTTAATGCTGTTGAGACAGTTCCCCAGCACAGGGCACCAAGCCCAAAGGGCACAAAACTGAGAAGACCCATAACTGAGAAGATGCAATTGGAGACGCCAAATGTTAGCCTCGCACGGGATGCCATATTACAAAAGATTATGAAAGTCTGCCCTTGACCCCCCGGTACTTTTGTGGAGGGGGCACACGAAGAAGGGCCTCAGATCGTGATCATGGGGTCTAGGGTGGTTCATATGGGGAGAGGCAGTCATTAATGTGCTGGGGTTCTGACTTACTTCTGAGTAGTTGTACTGAGGACTGTGCCACTATGTACCCATATAAAAGTGTACACCCCTCATGGCACTCCCTTGAATATGTCATATTTTTATTACATCCCTACCATCATTATCTTACTGTGTATATATACAGAGAGAGAGAGAGGCTTAATCCACAATAAGTTTGTGTTAGTTTGCAGAGTACCATGGGACTCTTTGTGGTTTTAACTCAGGAAAAAAAGCATCACCCGTAATACGTCCAGAGGATGACAGTCTGAAATAGGCCACCTTTAGAGTTTCGGGTTTTCTATTTTTAATAATTTCTGCTAAATTGATAACACAGAGTGTGAAAGCATGATAACATCCCTCTTAGCTATGACTTTGCTAATACAATATTGCTGCTAGCTAACCTGTCGCCAATGCATTAAATAACCTGGCAATAGAGAGCTCTGTGTACTGTATAAGATGTAATTCCTAAGAAATTAAATTATTGGAGGCATAAGCTCCTGTAAGCATGCATCAGATCCACAGGCGGTTATTAAGATCATCCTAATCTGAACCACTGCAGAGTTAAATTTAGAACGTCCTGTTATCATGGGCTGGATCTAAACACCATCACCACCAGGTTAGACTTTTCTTTACAGTTCCTTTTTTTTTTGGAAAATGATATTTATTACTTTTCCAACACTTTAAACACAACACTACAAAGAAAAAGAAAAAGAAAAAAAACAGAACAATACAATACAATACAATACAAAACACTACATAACACTGACACATTAAACTAACATAACCAAACAAAAACAGTTTAAAACACATCAAACAATTTCAGTATCTTATCTTTCATTCACTTATTTCCACGACCTCCTCACACCTCCCTTTTTGTATTCCACTTCTATTAGTTGTTTCAGCAATTCCTTTCCATCTTCCTCTGTTTTCTATCCTATAATTATCTTAACACATTCTAACCTTATTTTTCCTTTAATATTCTATTAATCTATTTATACTTAATTCCTTATAACATTTCTACTAAAGCCATATAACTTCATTCCAATATTCTTCTAACATTCATTAATTTTACAGTATTTCTGTAAATAGTCTTTAAACTTTTTCCAGTCTTCTTCCACCGACTCTTCTACCTGGTCTCAGATTCTGCCAGTCATTTCCGCCAGTTCCATATAGTCCATCAACTTCATCTGCCATTCTTCCCGGGTGGGTAAGTCTTGTGTCTTCCAATACTTCGCTATGAGTATTCTTGCTGCTGTTGTTGCATACATAAAAAAAGTTCTATCCTTCTTTAACACCAATTGGCCGACCATGCCCAGGAGAAAGGCCTCTGGTTTCTTCAGGAAGGTATATTTGAATACCTTTTTCATTTCATTATAAATCATCTCCCAGAATGTCTTAATCCTTGGGCATGTCCACCAAAGGTGAAAGAATGTACCTTCAGTCTCATTACATTTCCAACATTTATTGTCGGGCAAATGGACTTTTCTTTACAGTTCCTTTCAGTTTATGCAAGTGTTATTCTAGCAATAAGCAGTGTGTGTTGGCTGACCTGCACAGGAGAGTGTTATGTTTTATTAAGAAGGCAGTTCTACACACACACACACACACACACACACACACACAAAGGTTTATTTATGCTCCCTGTTCCAAAAGAAATTTACCTTGGAGAGGCCATTCCATCAAGTCAGGGAAGAATAAATGCTGCTGCAATGTGCAAGATTTGCCATACCATGACACGTCCATCTCCCTTGATGCTGACTAAGCTGCCGAGGTTGGCTGAGCCATTACCTTTACCAAAGACCCCGCTTCGTAACCTCGGGCCCAGCCTCTGACCTACTAACCGCCGAAAGACCCGTGCTTCCTTTTCTGTCCGATTATTCAACGGAGCTGAATCTGTGAGCTTGCAGATCTTGTCATTATACCAGCCGAGGGACAAAGGCGTTTTGCCCTGGCATCACCCCAGCAATTGCAGAGCGAGTGTTTGGTTCACAAAGAGGCCTCTGTGTCACCTAGTAAATGTCTTCAGGCTGCAATCCTGCCCAAATCTACTCAGCAGCGTCCTAATGAATTCAAGGGGGCTTACTCCTAGGTAAGTGGCGATCTCAACAGCTTTCATTGGTGCATCAGCTACAGCACATCCTTTCCTGGATGAGGATAGCTTGGCTACTGTGAGTTATCTATGGGTAACCTTACTTTTAGACGACTGTAATGTGTCCTAAGTGAGGCATCCCTTATAGCTGGTCCAGACACTACAGAAGAACACTGGGTTATAAGCAGGGCATACCCTCCAACATTTCTCCAGTGAAAATAGGGATGTCCTATTCCATCATCATCATCACTTCATGATTTATACCACACTCATCTGACATGGCTGCTCCAGCCAGTCAGGGCAGCTTCCAACATACAGTGGTGCCTCGCAAGACGAAATTAATCCGTTCCGCGAGTCTCTTCGTCTTGCGGTTTTTTCGTCTTGCGAAGCACGGCTATTAGCGGCTTAGCGGCTATTAGCGGCTTAGCGGCTATTAACGGCTTAGCGGCTTTAAGAAAAAGGAAACAAACTCGCAAGAACTCGCAAGATGTTTCGTCTTGCGAAGCTAGCCCATAAGGAAATTCGTCTTGCGGAACGACTCAAAAAACGGAAAACCCTTTCGTCTAGCGAGTTTTTCGTCTTGCAAGGCATTCGTCTTGTGGGGCACCACTGTATATAAAAACATAATAGAACATTAAACATTTTTTTAAAAATTGCCCTATACAGGGCTGCTTCCAGATGTCTTCTGAAGGTTGTGTAGTTACTTATCTCCTTGGTTTGGGGGTTATATAATTCCATACCCTCCAACATTTCTCCGATGAAAATAGGAACATTCTAAGGAAAAGTGGGACATTCTATAATAATAATAATAGATAATTTTTTATTTATAGCCCGCCCTTCCCGGTTCAAAAACCGGGCTCAGGGCAGCTAACAACAAATTTAAAATACTTTAAAACACTTAATTATAAAATCAGCATAAAATACAGTATAAAAACATGAATAACAATAAAATTCGAAAATCAAAAATCAATTAGATAAACCCCAGGGCTAGCTGGCTGAATTGGTCCTACTTGGGCCAGCGAGGAGGCCAGGAGAGAATTAGCTGTGGGGTCTCAGAGTGGGTAATCTTCATAAAAGGGGAGGGAGAGGGAAGGGAAGGGAAATAAAAGATCTAGGATCGATTCAGAAACTGGAATGGCTTCTGTAAATCTGGGACTGTCCCTAGAAAGCAGAGTCACTTGGAGGGTCTGGCAGTACCCCATAACAGGAAAAACACTTCTGATTACTTTTGGTGTGTCCGGCTGATATTAACAATGAAAACTCCAGGTGTCCCAATTTTCCAGGGGTAGTCCTGTAATTACAAAAGCTATCCCAGCTTCTGATTTGATCCCGGAATGCCCCTATTTTCCTTGCCGCCGCCGCCGCCACTGAACTCAGGGAAGAGGATGAGCCCGTGCTTGTCTTAAGCAAAGGCAGCTACAGCAACACCAGCGAGAGAGTGTCTCATTGCCTCTCCGTGGCCTCTCCATGGCTGCGGCTAGAAACCTCTTCCTTTGGGCATCTCAAAGTGGTTGCTGGACAGCGGATGAGGAGGAGAAGAGGCTGTACCAGGCAAACACATAAATATATAAACCACATGTCTGAAGCAGCACAGGAAAACAGCCCGGAAACCATTTTGACTCCCAAACTGACCAAATGATTTCTCTGCAAGGTCAAGGAAAATGGAAAAGCCTCCCCATTGTCTTTTCCTTCACAAATCCTGTCTTAAGGGTATGTCTGTGTATGAATAGGGTGAGCCTGTGACCTGGCTCAGGAACTAAGTATTTATCATTACAAAAGACTGGCCAGGCTCCCCAGGGTATCCAATCAAGTAAGCATTAAAAGGTAACCTGCCAGACAGGAGGTAAACAACGCACTCAGATTTCTGTTGTAGACCGCCCTTTCTGTGATGTAGGTATGA